TTTTTTGTCATTTTGGTCAAGTTATCTATTAGCTGTGTGGTTTTATCTTCACTCTTTTTAAGGTATATTGTTTTTGATTGGTTCTCATTATTTCATTTGGCCGCTAGCCACCCCGTAGGGTGGTGGTTTCGTTATCATTGGTCAAGTAATTATTAGTCCTAGGCTTTTAGCTTAAGATTTTTCATCCAAACATTGCATCTCTGCTTAGTATGTTTCATTAAGTATTTAGTAAGTTGTTATGGATCTCATTTCAAAATGATGGTGGAATAGGGGTTGTGTTTTAATGGGTTCTTTCTATATTGGGAATAGGTCGTATGTGACCTGAGAATTTTTATCTACTCTTGGATTCTCAACACACTGTTCATGTGTTGCTGTTATTGTGTCTTTGTTATACTTAATGAGCACTAGTTTTTCATTCAGATTCTTTCCTCATTGGAAAGAATCTGTAAGTCATTTTTACTTACACTTATGATAGTCATTGTTCTAACTAGCTGTTTCTCAATAACTATTCATCTTTAGTCTATTTACCTTTTTACTTATTTGAATCATCTCTTACCTGTGATCCCTGTTGAATCACGCACAGGTTTGTTTTGTCTTCAGTCTGTTTCTCTTGTTGTGGTAAAAGATACAGTATTGGTCAAGTACATCACGTTGTCATCTGGATTAGAAGGTACATGAGGTAGTGTAGGGTTCAAGGTATTTCATCTCAAGTAGTGGTATGGTTTCAGGTGTAGTAGCTGGTCGAGTTCAATTGAAAATCCCAAAGAAGGTAGTTCTTCTATTTCACATTTAGAATCATGTTTAGAATATATCCAAATTCGTAGCTTTTTATATTACATTATTTGTGAGCGTGTTTTATATTCCTCTTTGGGATTAGAGTGTTAAAAAAAAAAAAAAACTTTTGTAGTCAGGCTCTCCTCTTAAACCCTGCCTCTCTCGAGCTCCAGTTTCCTCCCCCATCGCGTGGAAACTGAAGCTTGAGAGTAAGTCTTTTTCTTTTCTTTATGTGTGTGTTTTACTTGGGCGTTACTCATCCTCTACGACAGACTTCCTACCACTTTCGATCATCCTGCTTATCGCAGGTAAGGCGTTGAATCTTCCGCCCAATCTTATTTCTACCTTACGAGTTCACATAGAACTCATCGTGCCTGTTCTGTCCAGGTGATTACCTATCTCTATTCTCTTTCTTGATTAGTCTTTTTCTTACTCTAAATAGCTTGATGTGTGTGAATGAAATATCATCGCGTGGAAACTGAAGCTTGAGAACTTCCTACCACTTTCGATCATCCTGCTTATCGCAGGTAAGGCGTTGAATCTTCCGCCCAATCTTATTTCTACCTTACGAGTTCACATAGAACTCATCGTGCCTGTTCTGTCCAGGTAAGGTGTTGAATCTTCCGCCCAATCTTATTTCTACCTTACGAGTTCACATAGAACTCATCGTGCCTGTTCTGTCCAGGTATCAACATTTTTCAGCGTCGACATCCAGTCCGCTTGAACTCATTTCACAAAGACTCGGACTCGAATCCAGAAGACATCAAACCGCTCGAAGTTAAACGTCGAGAACTTTGAAAGATAGAGATGGCGAGGGAATTATAGAGAGACGTCAACAGGAGAGGTTGATGAAGGGGAAAGGATCAACAAGCCAAGTGGAACAAGACGGCGTACCTTTAGATGGTAGGTTGACTCATTTCCTATTCTAAGTTCCTTCCTTTATCATGGGCAGAGTTCTCCCCAATATACCTGTCTTAGCAAGAGAGGGTTTTCCCTTCGTCACCGTGTTCTACCTGTGTAATTGCTTTAAGGAAGCTCATAGCGCCAGAATCAGCTCCAGCGAACTGTAATCGTAGAAGCAGGCTGCTAATAGCGCCACATTCTATAGTGATTGTAGCTAGTCCAGGGCTGCTGCCTATGCGCCTGGAGAAGACGGAAGCACATGCAGTCAGTCACCCGATCAAAACAGTAAGAGCTGCTAGTAGCGCTAAACAAACTGAAGC